CATCATCAAGCCGTACTTCGGCTTCCTCCCTGGCGACCCGGCGCTCTGGTCTGCGCTGCACGACTACGCAGAGTTCTGGGGCGGGCTGCTCGTGGCCATCGGCCTTCTCACGCGGCCGGCCTCGCTGCTCCTCTTTGCCACGATGGCGTGCGCAGTTTACTTCCACCTCGCATCGACCGGACTCCAGGGCTTCCCGCTCGGCCATGTGGAGAACTACAGCTACAATTTCGAGGAGCCCGTGCTCTACGCGCTGATCTTTTGGCTCCTGTCCAAGACCGGAGCCGGCTCGATTTCCATCGACGAGAAGATTGCTCAGGCCTTTGACGCAGAATGAACCCGGCAAGAGGGTGGGCGAGAGCCGAACATGCGTACGCAGCCCCTTGGAGCGCGAAGCCTTCGTAGCCCTCCGCTCTACTGTGGAGCGCGCGAGGGGCTGGAGCGGTGGAGCGGACCAGAATCGCAGAGTGTCCACGCATGAAGGCACGCATGATTTGGGGTGATAAATAAAAATAAATAAGGCGGGTCAAACTCTGAGACGAGATGGGATTTAGGGACATGTGAGATGTGTCCCCGCCCTGCACGATCTTGGTGTGAGGGAAGCTTGGGGTGCACATGGCGTGACGCCTGCAACCCAAACGCGCAAGCAGGCGTCACGCCAAGCCAAAAGCAAAACGACGGGGCGGCCCAAACGCGGAACGCGAACGGCCAACGGGCCCGTTAGTAAAGGTAAAAAAGGACACTTCTGACGTCTACTAGGAGATGGATAAAAAGGAGCAAGTCCCCGCCCTGCGGTCTTTGCGTGCAGGGTCTTTGTGTGTATACCCACACAACATACAACATGTACATGTGTGAAGCTGTGCAGCTGCCGTGAGAACTACATGCATGTGGTACATGTACAGCAGCGACACACGGCACACGCTAGGGCACACGCGCCGCGCGTGCAGGTATTCGCTTTGTGTATGCGCGCGTCCGCCGAGAAACGAAACGGGCAGACGCCGCCAAAATCAGCCGATGGCGGGCCGGTCCATTCGCCCATTCTCCATCTCGGTCCCTTTCCTCCGGTCCTTGTCGAAGGTCTGGTCGCGAGCGTCGTCGGCAGCGTAGAAGTAGTCCTGGTGAGTCTTTGGCGTGATCTCGTCGATCGCCCACCCCTTTGCTCGCAAGGAAGCCGCTATGGCGTTGAGTCGGATCGCGTTGACGCCGAAGTCCGTCTGGCCCACGCGGGAGCTCGAGCGCACCTGGATGCCCTGCTCCCTCCCGCCCGCCATGGCGAACTCGACGTCGTCGATGTAGCCCTTCTTGAGCGCCTCGAACTGGACGTACAAATAGCTGTCCGTCTCCTTCACGACCGCGAATCCGCCGCCGTCGATGAAGCTCTGCCCGGGCTTGTACTCCTTGACCGCACTGGCCAGGGTCTTAAACGGGGCCGGGTCATCCGCCGGAGGCCTCCAGGGCGAGATGAGTGTGTCCACGCCCGTCAGGATGCGGTCCTCCAAGAGGCTGTCTCCGGTGGTGCTGAAACAGTTCGGCTTCCCGTCGCACCCGCGCAGCCCTGAAAACGTGACGGGGTCCGCATCTATGGATTGCTCGTTGATGGTGCGCTTCAGCACGCCGAGGTCCTTTGGCGGCGTGCCGCGGCGCTTGGCCTTGTCGACGTAGCTTGCGTACTCTGGGATCGCGTTGTCAAAGGCGCCGGCGCGGCGGATGGGCGACGAGGCGACGGCGGCGGCGGCGCCGCCGCCGATGACTGCACGGCGCGTGCTCCGCACGGCCTCGCACGAGACGACGAGGAGGAGGAGCAGGCGAACGATCATCGTGGAGGCTGAAGCGAAGGGCCCGGAACACACGAAAGCGGTCGGCGAGCTGACGCTCGACAACAACAAAGAAGGTGCGCCGTCCAACTGCGAGCTGCGAATAGGACCGCCGCAAGGCGTGGCCTGGGGCGGTTGAGCATCCCTACGGGGGAGCCTTGCGCTTTTTTTCAACCAGAAATCACGACTCTCACAGTGTCAGTGATTTGGGCTCGGCAGCTTGTCAGCCCTCAGCCGAAGCTGGGGCCGGTCCCGTAGCCGAGAGAGAGAGCCCGCGTCGATGAGTTCGACGCGGTCGGGGGGGGCTGCGGAGAGGCCAGCGAGGTGGCGATCGCTGTGCACTCACTGATTGCTCATGCATGGCCGGGGCCGCGATGTGTGAATTTGGAAATCGGGTCAGCACTTCCCTTGGGATGAGAGGAAGGTTAGTCTAACGCTTGAAGTAGGCAAAGTATACCGGGCGGTCGCCGTAGACACGGTTGAGGTAAAGGCCAGACATCTTGCCCCTGACGGGTGAGACAAGGGTGTTGATGCGCCTGAGAGCGGCACGAGTGAGGAGGCCGCGTGCTGCAGCTTGCATGCAGGTGGCCAAAGACACCACTGCCTGCTGTGCCGTCAGCTCTTCACGCCACTCCTGTCGCCGAGTCAGCACTTCGACTCGGCGCTCGCCTGCCACTTTCATGCCCTCCAGCTGCTCTGTCACCGCTGCAAGAGCAGTGTCAGCATGCACCTTCATGCCCTCCAACTGCTCTGTCACCGGCAAGAGCAGTGTCAGCATGCAAATTGTCGGGGAAACGTGCAGCAGCACCAGCGGTGCGCCGTCGCCGCCGGCCTCGCCGCCCCATCACAGATGGAACGTGAGCCGAGCGAGGCGATCGACGCCGCGGGAGGCCTTGGTAGTCGACGCAGCAGCCGCAGCGCGCGGGCGCAGCGGCCAGGGCGCGACAACGGACGCACGTCAAAACAGCGTAATCTCTCTCAGTGTATGTACTTTTTGCACGGTATTCGGATTTGGATAAATTTCAGTTTTGAGATTCGCCTCGCAGATTACCCGACGAACGATATTTTCCTGCTTAGCGCGATTTCCGTCAAACCAGTTTACCCAGTCTCCCACAATTCGTGTTTCAGCTTACCCGGTCGCTTAAATTTGTCATGTCAGATTACCCGGTCGGCCAAATTTCTCGTCCAGATTACCCGGCAACGATATTTTCCTGCTCAGCAGCAATTTCATCAAAAAACTGAGAACCAGTTTACCCAGTCTCCCAACAATTCACGTTTCAGCTTACCCGGCCGCTAACTTTTCTCATGTCAGATTACCCGGTCGGCCAAATTTCTCGTCCAGATTACCCGGCGGCTAACTTTTCTCTTTGAGATTACCCGGGCGCGCAAATTTCTCGTTTCAGCTTACCCGGACGCGAGCGTGCACCTCGTCCAGAGAGCGAGCACCTGCGGCACTTGCTTGGTCCTAAGGAGAGCTCCCACTCGGAATCCCCGGCCTCGTTTGCTTGAATGACGCAGTCGTGAATCCCAAACGGTTTCAGATTACCCGGCGCATCCCACTACCGGGTGATCTGGAAAAAGAAATTTCACCTGCCGGGGTAACCTGGAAACGACATTTCGCCGTGTTGGGTAATCTGGAAACGACATTTTGCCGCACCGGGTGATCTGAAACCGCTCACGCCGGGTGATCTGGAAAACGCCGGGTGATCTGCGAGGCGAAGCTCAAAACCGGGTGATCTGGAAAAAGAAATTTCGTGACCCGGGTAACCTGGAAACGACATTTCGCCGTGTTGGGTAATCTGGAAACGACATTTTGCCGTGTTGGGTGATCTGCGAGGCAAGAACTCGCAGACGCCGGGTGATCTGAAAAACGCCGGGTGATCTGCGAGGCGAATCTCAAAACCCGGGTAATCTGAAATTTATCCTTCGGATTTTTAGCAATACCATTGTTTGTTCGGAGTTTCGCTATTTGGTCGTGTGGGTGTGAATGCCGGTATTAGTCAACGGTACCGCGTCGGCGACGCGGGCGCCTTGCGGGCAGGGCCCTTAGCCACCCTCTATCTTGCGCGGTCAAAACTCGAAGCGTAAAAGAAAGAAAGAAATCGACCCCCGAAGGGAG